AAATTGTTCTCAAGAGCGTACATATGCTTTATTCAGTTCATTCACAGCGTGACTCTCATTTTTCAAAGCGTGATTTTCAGTGACGGCAGGGTTGGCCCGGCTGTACCAAATAATGTAGAAGTACGGAAAATATTTTTTATTGTATACTCATTTGAGTCAAAGTCACATGCTACTACCTAGACAAAATAGAATTAATTATTTTGCTAATTTTCTGTAAAGGGAAAAGGGAATAAACAACTATCTTTCTTCGGTCGCCTCTAGCATTAGCTGCATTCTCGATATTTATGCTAGAGATGCATACAAAAGTTTTTTCCCCAAAACTAAATTAATAATAACATAAGAAAGTGATAAGTTTTTCAAATTATGTCAAATAATTTGTCAAAATATTTAGTTTAATTAAGTAATTGTTTAATTAAGATTAAAGCGTCACTGTTGAAAATGTGTTAATCAACTTGTCCTTGTGTGATCGAAATACACTGTATATTGATTGYAAGTTATGCAACCAAATATACACACTATTTACAACGAATGTAATAAATTTACTTTTTTTGTAGATAAGATCACAAATAATGATTAAAGAATAAAATTTACTTCACATTGCTTTTGATTTAAGCAAGGATAACTATTAGATTTAGATTCCGTTCAGCGTAATCCAGTGCAATAAAACGTCTCGAGGGTTAATTGAAATAAAATAACTAATACCTAAGACTAATTCCATTAAATTAGTTTGCTAATTATATGACACAAATTAAGTAATGATTATTTACGAGAAAAGAATTTTCAATTAAGTGGAATATAGCCATACAAAGTAAAAACAAAAATAATTGTTGCTTATTATGTTTTTTTATGCCAATTTGTTTCCTACACTAAAAATCTCATAAGCCGCGGTGTTTTTATTTGTTTTACATGTCGTAGTTTTATTTGGTTGTGTTAGTCTGAAATAAATCCCCACACAGGCTTATTAAAACGATCTGGTCCTCCTTTATGTCAAAACAACGTAGGTTCCTCCCTTTTTGACGACGATCACGATTTTTGGCTATTTTGTATTTTGATTTTTGTGTTTTTGAATTTGCGCGTCTTGTATTTATTTTGTTGGTATTTTGTTTTGGCGGAAAGATGATGACCTTCTCCCCTTCAGATCATCACAACTGATTAGGATTTATCATGTTTCTCAAATTGCCTCAAGGAAAATTTTTCATGTATTGTAATTCTACGTTAATATACTACCATCTAGTAAGCCACGTGCTCAAGTAGGTGATAAGAAACAAACAGACGATCTTAAGTGGGATTAAAAAACACAAAGAAACAAATCAGAACTTTATTAATTATTTATTTAATCAGTCGATAACATTACTCTACTATTACGTTACAAAGGTGCCCCAGCGTCTATTTTCGCAGGTATTTCAACGAAATGACCTTTTTGACATAAAGTAGTCTTAGAAAAAATTTCACATCGCCAACCCCTCCACTAACTAAAATAGAGGGGTACCAACCCTTAATTTTATTTTTTTTTCTCAATAACTAATAAATATATTCGAATGCACTCAACGCAGACTTGTAGAGACTTTTAAACTTTATTACATATATTTTTCTTTGATTTTTATCTTTATTCTAAAAACTCAAAAAAATAATTATAAAAATTGAGGGTGCTTTTTTTTCAACAACCCCTTGAGTGACACCTACCGAAAAAATTAAGGATAATTCCCTATTAGTCAGCTTTTATACCCACAACATAGAAAAATCATACGAATGGTGGAACATAGGTAAAAAAAATAAAACCACCTAGTTTCACTGTTTTATGTATGTGATTGGCTTGTCATATTACTTATCTTGATTGATCTTCCAATAAACATAAGGAAGTAACATTTATAGTGATAATGTTCGTGATAATAATTCATAACACAATTATTTAAAAAACATTAATTTTTTACGAATACTTAACTCAAATAAACAGTAATAATGGAACATACAGTGAGATCAAAAAGTCTGTCTATCAAGCAAGCGTAGAAATTTAAAACGTATGTCTGTGGAAGTTAAAATGTCACAATGACAAATGAGAAATGTCAAAATATTTTTTATGTAGATTATTACAGGAA